GCTCAGTGTCCTTTTCTTCCCCCTGAAAATCTTTCATCTAGTAAGTGCTCCAAGAAACCACTGCACAGGCCCATGGACTCTGAGATGGGTGGAGTACAAGTGAAGCCCCCTTTCTGAGAATCAAAGTCTAAGCCCTTTTCAACTCCATTGGAATGCACGCTAGGGTCTGTGCCTGGAGAGGGAGTCAAATATAAACACAATTCTAGAGAACAGGAGAGCATCTCCCACAGAGAGGCGGCCATGTCGGCAGTGGACACAGCCAAGAAAAAGCCCCACAATATATGATCTGGCCTCAAACTGAGCTTGAAATATTTTTAGAACTCTGAAGATAGGACAGACAGCTGGCCTTTCACTTCCTCTTGAGGCTGGACTGCCAATTTCTACTTATGTCAAAATAGAGGTGGTGGTGCTGGTCTGCATGAAGCCTCGGACCTTAATAACACTAACAAAACCCTTTGCATGTTTTTTTCCATACTAATAAAGCTCAAGTCTTCTCTTTGAGGAGAAGGAATTATATGACTGGAAGCAAACATAGTTTTCCTGAAATCCTGCAAAGATAAGGCCAGGGTTTTTGCAGAAGTTAAAAATCAACCCCAGCAGAACCTGTGGTGTCAAGGAAGCACAGACCATCACTGATGGGTCTGGGTGGGAACAGATCCATGAGACTGCCTTTCATGAGATGCAGAAGCAGGAAGAGGGCAGAGACTCCGGGCTGAGACATTCCAGGGAGGAGGGATAATTTAGTTACTTTTAAGCAAGAATCACTTAGAATAAGGATATTAAGGAGCAGCTGGTGGTCTCCCTAATTGATTGCATTAGCTCAGATTAGTGAGGCAATAGGGGTGCTGTGGGTAGATGCTGGCAGAGGTGGAGGAAGGATCATGCCCAGAACATTTTAATGTTGTTAAAACAGAGCTATGTGGAAGGTTAAGATGAATTCAAAGATTAAATCAAGATAAAAATCCAAGCCCAACCTGAAACCTGACAAAAACAGATTAATACTTCCCAATCCTGCCAGTGATGTCAACCCCACCAGTGATGTCTAGTGTTTCATGCTGCAAATCCCAGGAGAGTGAAGGATTCATTTTAAAAAGGTTGGCTAAGTCATCTCCTGAAGGCTTGGGTGAATATATA